CATACCCAATTCCAGCAACCGTTCCTTATATGTTTTAGCCTCCAGTCCCCTAATCATCTTTGTTGCTCTTCTCTGTACTCTTTCTAGAGTCTCAACATCTTTTTTACATCGTGGTGACCAAAACTGGATGCAGTATTCCAAGTGTGGCCTTACCAAGGCATTGTAAAGTGGTATTAATACTTCACGTGATCTTGATTCTGTCCCTCTGTTAATGCAGCCTAGCACTGTGTTGGCTTTTTGGGCAGCTGCAGCACACGGCTGGCTCATATTTAAATGATTGTCCACTAGGACTCTGAGATCCCTCTCACAGTCACTACTATTGAGCAAGGTACCCCCTATACTATACCTGTACATTTGGTTTTTCTTGCCTAAATGTAGAACCTCACTTTTTTCACCATTGAATTTTACAGCTTCACTTTCTGCTTACATTTCTACTTGGACCTTTCTTTTCTATTATTCCCAACAGGTGACGGACAGGAGAACGAGATTTACAATGAGCCAGAAGTTTTGCAATTGCAAACAATCAAGCATGAAGTGGAAGAAGTGATGCTTGGAAATCAAAGGGAGCCAAAACGGCAAGAGAGAGGCTACTCAAAGGATGGAGGGGAGAAGTCCTCTACTTTTCTGGATGCCCAAATCCATGGCTTCCTGACCCAGCAAGATCAGAAAGAAATCAGAGAGGGAAAATATTCAGGATGTGGCAAGAGAGACAAATCTAAATTTGATTTAAACAAACGTTTTAGAACTCAGACTAAAGAGAACCAATACGACCATAGAGTGCGTGTGAAAAGTGTGAAAAATTTCTTTCCTGTAATTTTACATCAAAAGCTATACGCAAAACAGAAACCGTGTACATTTTTAAAATGTGGAAAGAATTTCAGTTTGAGCAGGCATCCTACTTCCCGTGACAGAAGCCAGGTGGGAGAGAAACCATATAAATGTTTGAAGTGTGGGAAGAGGTTCAGCAGCAGCAGTAATCTTGTTTGCCATAAAAGGATCCACACAGGAGAGAAACCTTACAAATGCTTTGAATGTGGAAAGTGCTTCAGCAGCAGTAGTTATCTCATTTCTCATAAGAGGATCCACACTGGAGAGAAACTGTATCAATGTTTTGAGTGTGGAAAGAGGCTTAGCAGCAGCAGCTACCTAATTTCTCATAAAAGGATCCACACTGGAGAGAAACCATACGAATGCACCGAGTGCGGAAAGAGTTTTAGTCAGAACAGTAGTTTTATACAGCACCGAAGAATTCACACAGGAGAGAAACCGTATAAGTGTGCGGAATGTGAAAAGAGTTTCAGCAGAAAGAGTCTACTTACTCACCACAAAAGGATCCACACGGGGGAGAAACCGTATCGGTGCATGGAATGTGGAAAGAGCTTTAGACTAAAAAGTACTCTTACATCCCATCAAAGGATCCACACAGGGGAGAAACCATACATATGTGTGGTATGTGGGAAAAGGTTTCGCGAGAGAAGTAGCTTTATGAAACATAAAAGAATCCACACGGGGGAAAAACCATACCAGTGCACAGAGTGTGGAAAGAGCTTTATTCAGAAAGGAGAACTTACTTCCCATCGAAGGATCCATACTGGGGAGAAACCGTATCAATGCACGGAGTGTGGAAAGAGCTTTAGTCAGAACAGTAGCTTTATACAACATAAAAGAATACACACAGGGGAGAAGCCTTACAACTGTATGGACTGCGGAAAGAGCTTTAGTCGAAACAGTAATTTTATACAACATAAAAGAATTCACACCGGGGATAAACCATACCAGTGCGTGGAGTGTGGAAAAAGCTTTATTCAGAAAGGAGAACTAACTTCACATCGAAGGATTCATACAGGAGAGAGACCATATGAATGCACACAGTGTGGAAAGAGTTTCAGTAGGAGCAGCAATCTTACTTGCCATCAAAGGATCCACACAGGGGAGAAGCCATATAAATGTGGAGAGTGTGGAAAGAGCTTCATTCAGAGCAGAGATCTTTCTTCCCATCAGAGAATGCACACTGGGGAGAAACCGTACAAATGTCCAGTGTGTGGAAAGAGTTTCAGTATGAACAGCACTCTTACTTCCCATCAAAGAACACACACAGGAGAGAAACCATTTAAATGCTTAGTGTGTGGAAAGAGTTTTAGCACAAACAGTACTCTTACTTCCCATCAAAGGGTCCATACAGGGGAGAAACCATATAAATGTCCTGTTTGTGAAAAGAGCTTTAGTATGAACAGTACTCTTACTTCTCATCTAAGGATCCACACTGGGGAAAAACCATATATGTGTGTGATTTGTGGAAAGACGTTCCGCGAGAGCACCAGCCTTATGAAACATAAAAGAATACATACAGGAGAGAAACCATATAGATGTATAGAGTGTGGAAAGAGCTTTAGTCAAAACAGGCACCTTACAACCCATAAAAGGATTCACATGGGAATAACCATATAATTGCACAGGGTCTGAAAATGCTCCATCTTGAGAGGCAGATAAGAATCTGGACAACAGGAAAAAGCTTCAGTATCAATGGGCACCTTATTTTTCCACTTCATGAGACTTACATGGAGGAAATTCAATCAAAGTAGAATAGTTTTCTTTGAACTGAGGCAGTGAAGCAAAAGCTAAATGTCAATTTGATTTCATTCAGTTGCCAAAATTAACAATCATAGTTGAGTTAGATTAATTAAACCGAGGCGCTATGAATTCTTCCCAATCATGCACTTCCACTTCTGTCACATTAAAATGTACTATTCAAGGAGAGCTTTTCAAGGTTGTGCACAGATCTATGCTTCTAAAATTTGGAGTTAATTCAATCATCCTGGTTAATTATAAAAGATAATGCACTATTTCTCTTAGTACATAATTGCTCAGAAATCCCTAAAAAAATTTAAACATTTGATTTAGTCCTGATAACTATAAGAAAAATAAGAGTTTTCAACAGGTCATTTTCAAATTAGGTCATTTTGGCAGGTCATTTTCAAATTAGAAGCCTGTTAGCTATTTATTTTAAAATTATAACATTGTTATTCCTATGTCTTGCTGCACTGTGCACTGTATACAACTTTTGTCTATGACAAGAAATAAACAAGACATCGATTCAAGAGACCCCTGCACAAATGTATGGAAACTTCAAAAGCTTTGGGATAAAACAATATTTTTCTCTTGACAATCACAGATCAGTACTTGAAAAGATCCTAATACAAATCATGAAGCAATCAGTAATTATCTTGAAAATAGTAATGCTTCTATCAAACTGTTTTGTAGTTTTTATTGGGAATTTTGTGGATTATGGAAATAGATTTCAACATAATTATCTTAATTTCAGAATAGGATTTGACAAAGTTGCTTAAACTATTCTGTTTAGCAAGCTAATTGTTAATGGCTTGGATAGCAGGTGAATTCACGTATTCAAGGTACAGTATGTTCATTAATGGTTCCTCATCAAATGAATGACCTATCAAGTGAGTTGCCACAGAATTTGTCCTGGGCATGGTTATCTTAATATTTTGGTAAATTACTTGGATAAAATGGTGGAGGGAATAGAGGTAGTCCTCAACCTATGACCACAAGTGAGCCCAAAATTTATGTTAAGTGAAATTTATTAAGTGAATTTTGCCCCATTTTACACATTTTCTGGCCCATGTGTTAAATTAGTAATAAGGTTGTTAAGTGAATCTGGTTTTCCCATTGGCTTTGCTTGTTGGAAGGTTGCAAAATGGGATCACATGACAGGGACACTGCAACTGTCATAAATATGAATCAGTTGCCATGCATCCAAATTTTATTCAAGTCACCATGGGGATGCTACAACAGTCATAAGTGTGAAAAATGATCATAAGTCACTTTTTTCAGTGCCATTGTAACTTCAAATGGTCACTAAATGAACTCTTGTAAGTCAAGGACTACCTGTACTGTTCTGCAGTTGACACAAAACTCAGTACTGTATTAATTGTATAGTGGTTCTCTGACCAGAAGAAAGTACTGGAACTCTTGCCATGCTGGAAGCAATCCATCTCAAGAATAATTATTGGATCCCACAAATTAACAGCATTTATTAGAAGTAAGTCATAATATCAAGCAAGAATGTGATTGACAGCCCGCTATGGATTGATGCTGAGGCAGCATTTGGATGTCCTAAGGGTGCTTTTTCAAGAGGCAACTGGACTTCCTTGTTTTTTCTTTGAAGACGTTTTGCTTCTCATCCAAGAAACTTCTTCAGCTCTGACTGGAAAGTGGGGAATAGAAAGATTTATATTCCTTGCAGACAGCTGGTCATTTGCCTTCTTTTAGAGAGTCATTGAGGCCACTTGTGTCCTCAGGGTCACTTAAGTAGTGTAAATGTGTGTGGCACCTTCTTGGCTCCAGGATGTTTTTCTGCCCTGTGTCTCTTCACTGTTGAAGACAGGCGCAGGCTGAGGATTTTAAAAAGAATAAACAATAAACATATGAAGGATGGGAGTGGTTTTTCCCCTTGTAAATTAGATTGGCATAAGGATGGTCTAATGCAGGGGGAGGCAACCTTGGCTCTTTTATGACTCGTGGACTTCAACTCCCAGAATTCCTGAGCCTGCATGGCTCAGCTTGGAAACCTCTCCCTTTCCCCTCAGCATGGCTGGCTCAGGAATTCTGGGAGTTGAAGTCCAAGGTTGCTTACCCCTGGTCTAAGGAATATAAATCCTTCCATTCCCCACCATCCAGTCAGAGCTGAAGAAGCTTCTTGGAAGAGAAGTGAAACGTCTTCAAAGGAAAAACAAAGTCTAGTTGCCTCGTGAAAAGAGCACTTTTGGGATAACCATGACCTGGATGACAGAATCTCCATTGACATTCGCAGGGACGGTCTTGAGTGGCCGGGAGAACAAAGATTTGGCCAATGGCGAAAAGGCGCATCTGTGTCGTCATCGGTTGCTGGGTACAAGGTGCCGCTCCGGTTATTTTATTATTTTATTTTTTTTGCGGATGGGGAAACTGCCTCCACTTCATCTTAACACCAACCCTGCGTGGGAGGGTTGGAGAAGTGGGCTTTGCCGTAGAGGGCGATTTGAAATTGCAGCCCCGGAGCTCCCTGGCCGAGCTTTTTACGCTGCGGTGATGCCGTTTTTGCCTGGCTGAGGGAAGGATTTACGCCTCCCGTTTGGAAAACGAGGGAGGGAGGCTCACCGGGAGAGGAAACCCCCTGAAATGGAGAGCGAAGGGCTGAGGAGGGGCAGCCATTTTGGAGAAAGCGCTACTTGGGAATCCAGATTCGCCCCTCAGCCCTCAGAAGTTTGGGAGGTCTGGCTTGGCGCTTATTTCAAAGAGTCGGACTTTTCATTCGTGTATTTCATGTAGTGATTCAGGGCGGTGGAATCAACATAGTAACGTATCAAATCAGAGCTGCGGGATCAAAACCTTTAGTTTGGCTTCACATCTTTCCGACTGGAATAAATCGCTTTGCCTAACTCTGAAAGGGAACTCGGGGGGGGGGGGACATGACGTCACTGCCCCTGCTGGAATAGAGGGGAGGGGAAGGAAACCCCGCGTGGAATTTTGGCGGGAAAGCCGTTAACGGTCGGGGAGAGAACCACAGAGGGAAGGAAAGATTCAGGAGATATAAAAGGGGCTGAGGGAAAGGACCTGTTTAAGGCGCTGCTGTGAAGTGACAAAAGGGCTCCATTATCTTATAAAGGGGACAACGTTAAAGAGGCTTCATTTTTAGGCGCAGTTGTGAACTGCTACATCTAAACTAGAGGCTTTACTCTGAACTGTGATATAGTTGTACAGTATAGGCCCTAGAAAGAGTGCAGAAAAGAGCAACAAAAATGAGTAAGGGACTGGAGGTAAAAACATAAAGAATGGTTGCTGGAATTGGATATGTCTAGTTTAATGAAGAGAAGGACGAGGGGGGACATGATAGCAGTCTTCCAATATCTCAGGTGATGCCACAAAGAAGAGGGAATCAAGCTATTCTCCAAACACCTGAGGGCAGGACAAGAAGCAACAGATGGAAACTAATAAAGGTGAGAAGCAACCTGGAACTAGGGAGAAATTTCCTGACAGAACAATTAATCAGTGGAACAACTTGCCTCCAGAAGTTGTGAATGCTCCAATACTGGAAGTTATTAAGAAGAGATTAGACCAGGGGTGTCAAACTCAATTTCATTGAGGGCCGCATCATCAGTATTGCGGTTGCCCTTGGGGTGTGTGTGTGTGTGTGTGTGTGTGTGGTCAGGGTGGGTGCGGCCTACTGGGTGGGTATGGATGGAGTGGGTGTGGCCTACTGGGTGGGCATGGCCAGCTCTACATCATTCGTGTCAAGGGTGCCTGTGGGTGCCTGGGCAGGAGTCGGACAGATCTGAGGGTCTCTGGCAAAAAGGGGTGGGACCAGGACAAAGCCCATCAAGCTGGATATGTGAAGTAGGCGAGGGCCATTTGCTGGCCACTTCCAGGTAATGGTGCATTTCTTCATTCCTCACAAAAGGTGACACTTCCCCAGCATGCAACCAGGGGGTGGGGCCAATGCAGTAGGGGCTGGTTCCTCGCTGTTTCCAGACGGCCTTGTGGAGCTAAGACTGAATGCATTTCAGCATAGATGGCCACCACAAAATTGTACATTGGCTCCTGGCCGGCCTGGGCCAGGGCCAAAGCAGCGGGGGCCATTCCCTCACTGTTTCCAGGATGGCTTTGTGGGCCACATGAAACCACTTCGCGGGCCGCATCCGGCCCCCGGGCCTTATGTTTGACATGTCTGGATTAGACAATCATTTGTCTGAAATGGTATAGGGTTTCCTGTCTTTGCAGAGGTTGAACTAGAACAGCGGTTCTCAACCTATGGGTCGCGACCCCATTTGGGGTCGATCGACCATTTCACGGGGGTCGCCAAGAAAGGCTGTCCGCCATTTTTTTCCCCTTTTCCGGCGGGTGCCTTACCTCCCTTGGGCTGGGCCAGCTGGTGGTCGGCCTGCTCCGTCTCTGCCGCTTGCCAGCTACGCCTCAGCCGGTGCAGGGGGCGGAACCACGCATGCGCGGCGCTCCCGGGCAGGGAAAGTCCTTGACTTACGACCGGTTGGGTAGTCCTCGACTTACGACCGGTTTAGTCCTCGACTTACGTCCGGTTTAGTCCTCGACTTATGACCGGTTTAGTCCTTGACTTACGACCGGTTGGGGGTTGCGGCATTAAAAAGGTTGAGAACCACTGAACTAGAAGATCTCCAAGGTCCCTTCCAACTCTGTTATTCTATTCTATAATGCTGAGGTAGATTTTTCTATGAATCAAATATAATTCAGAGGAATGGGAGGGTATGATATTGCGGGTGCTGGAATGGGAAGGAGCAAAGGAAAGCCCTTGTGGAATTTTGGGGGGAAAATAGTTAAACTGACAGTGTTGGAGAGCAAGATGGGGATGGGAAGGTGAAGGTCTGAGGGAATCTGAGCTGGAACCTCAAGGTTAAAAAAAAGGTTACACTATATGTGTTAGAGAATTTTAATTTCTCTGTTGGTGAAAAATAAATCAGAAGCTCTCACAGTTGACTGCATTTAGCTGATTCAAATAACTTCTTTATATTTATATCAAAATATATACAATACCATACATTCTTCTTTACAGCAACATAGCACAATGAAGACTTCTTACAGAGAGATACAGAGACACTTTCTTCACATTGGCTGACTGAGTTACCACATGACTCTTCCTGCTCATGAATATTCCAACAATTTGTCTCTGAAGGAACAAGTATAAGTTGCATGTTTAAGGCACTGCTATGACAAGAAAAGGAAAGGAGCTACATTATTCTCTGAAGGGGGCAGAATTAAGGAGCCTTGGCTTTTAGGCACAGCTAGGAACAGTTCTGTCCAAATCTCATTCCAAACAGATGAAATTAAAGAAAAGGAAGGAGGGAGCTTCACTCTGAGGTAGAAGCCTCAGTCTCAGGTAGGAGGCGTTTCAAAAAGGGGATTATTTTGGGAGGGGGCATGTGTTCTTGTGGGTTATGGGGTTCAATGCTTGGCCTATTTTTTTTTTACAAGAGGAGCTATTGAGATTAAGAGGTAAGATGTTTCTCTTTTTTGAGAAATTTAGCCACCTTTTGCCAGAAGATCATTTTGGAAGTA